CTTTTTGCATTCCTTTAATTTTTATTTATTCAATTATTATATTTTTACTTGTAGGTTATTTCACTATCATTTCATTTCAGGTTTATTGTTGCTTAATATAATTGTTATTTTCAACTATTCTTTTTTAATTATTCTTTTTTACTTGTTTCAGGGATTTCAAATCATTTTATATAGTAGACAATGGAAGTCCGAACTAGTGAAACTCAATTCGCAGTAACATACCACCTATGGAATTGGTTGATACTTGATGAAAATTCATAATGTATCAAAGTAACACTATTGTAGGATTTTCACTGGACAGTTTACGAAAAGTGTTTTACTATAAGAAAGCTTTCTCAAAAAAATTATTTTGGCATATAAATATTTTTTTCATTCTATATATTACTGTAACAATAATTATGTGATATTTAAATAGTTTGGAATTAGACTGAATTTCAAATAATTATAGTAATAAATAGCTTTTATTTCACGGAGGTAAGCATAGTAGTTCACCACTCAACTAAGCATACATAATTATATAAATACAAATAAAATCAATACAAAAATGGTTCTCAAATATCTGCTAAAAATATAACTGAAATGGAAAATATTATATGGAACTTTCTTTGTTACCCGATTTCAAGATCACTGTTCATTAGGTCAATTTTTCATTCTGTTTCTGGATGGTAATGAATAAATTGTTATTATTGATTGTAACGGCCCGATACAAGGAGGATCGCTCAAAGTGTAACATACTGCTTCATCTTCAACACTTGTTGAATAAATGTATAGACTTGGAAATACAAATACATACAATTGTCATACCAATTTTCAAAACTGATACAAAACAGCGGCAACTAATCACAGGTAGTTGTGGAAAAATATTGAATCCACCATTTTGTAGCTGCGGTTCAAGGTGTACTACTATTCTAGTAGTCAAGCCCTGTGTCATTTGATACTCATATCAATGTAGTCGTTGTGATCCACCATTTTGTAACTGTATAAACAGTATAAACGGAAAGACGTTAAAGATACTAAAATTGAAAAAGTGAAATTGATTCGAAATAACCATCTTTCTTCAAAGTTCTACAAAAAATATCAGTTGATGGTGATAAGTGTTTGTAGATTTTGGAAGTGAGTGAGGGAAATGAAATCAGAAGTAGCTCGAAAAATGAAGCTGAAGGTCAATCCACTCAAACAGATGTTTGAAATGTCTGTATTTTTGGGAACTGAAAGAACAGTAACCCATTATACGGAGAATTAAACACAAATTAATAATAATAAATTGATTCATTGACAGCATAAATAACATGATATAATAGGAAGATACAAATTTGTCAATTCGTCAGAGTTCGTTTTTCCTCTTGCACCTCAAAAAAAAGATTAAAAAGATAAAAAACAAAAAAAAATCAAGGCCTAAATTGTAATTGTGATGGCGGATACAACATTTTATTCGTATAAAGAGGGGAGATGAGGCGGATATCAATACAAACTTAAGAATACTACATATTTTTTAGCTATAGCCTACAAGAGCTTATGTGTCGTAAAAGATATTAGGGTATTATTGTTTTTCAAAAGTTGTTCTTTCAGGCAGTAGCTAAAACTGGAAACAGATGTCGACCGAAAGGAAGGTGGTAGGTTGTTAGAGAATTCAGCTATTGTATGAAATGCATGTGAATGAACTTTTGAACAGTTCAATAGAGTGGATCATTTTACGCCTGATGTTCACATTATAAAAATCAGTTTGATAAGTTATTTCATTATAGAGGCAGGGAGATGCTATATTGACAATAACTTTATGAAATAATGTCGAAGAATGAAGAGTCCGCCTATCGTACATTTTCAGCCACCTGACTTTTCAACTATAAGAAATCGGTTCTCTTTTCTTGATACCTTACGAAAATCTTAAACAAGAGTTTTGAACTCATTGAATTCGTTGTTGTTCATTGTTATTCAGAAAATAATGATACACTCCAACACCAACACAATGGTTAAGAATATCAATGAATCACAAATGAGTAATTTGGTTTTTGAGCTCAAGACATGCCTATGAGGGTATACTAGTTTCATTTTCCCAAATGCTTTTATGAATCGATGTTGACGTATGTTTTTTGAGTTTCATCGATGAAAACTCATTTACGATAGGGTGGATGATGTTCTGACGTTTCAAAAAGAAGTGGATACTCTTCGTTGTTTGTCAAACTCAAAATGTGGTACTTCGTCGGTGCAAAAAAAAATTGGAACTTGACAAAATTTTAGTGAAACATCAAAAAAGTATGTTTTTCGATATGAAGAATTCTGGGATTGCACATTCAGTTTTTCTGTTAGTCAACTACAGATAGGCCTATCACTCATCGACTTTATTGTTTTTTAGAGAAAGACAAACAAATTGTCAAAGAAACAGTAAGGGCGTTGTTTTATGCAAAAATGTAATGTGAAAATCAGTCACTTTGGAGTTTTATCCCAACAACAAACCATTATTTTAACATCTCGACACGTGTTTCGATCACTTAGTGATCATCTTCAAGTGGAAGATTAAATAGTTTATTCTTTCTCTTCCTGTTTAATCTTTCTCTTGAAGATGATCAGTTGGTGATTGGAACACGTGTGGAGTTGTTCAAATAACGGTTTTGTGTTGGGGTGAAACTCCACAAGTCCAGATTTACTTGTTGATGAAAAAAGATGGTCTGAAAAAAATGGTAATCAGTTATCGGGCACTTAATGGAATCACTGTGGAAAATAGTGTTTCGATGCCTCTAATTGAAGAAATAATTGATAATTTAGGAGAAACAGAGATTTCACAAATATCGATCTAGCCTCAGGCAATCATCAGATACTACGATTATTAGAAAACAAATCAATTCCGTACACTGCATACATAACGCCAGATGCTCACTATGAATACTAGGACCCAATTTGGGTAATGTAACGGTCTCTCAGTTTTTCAACAATTTATTAACACAGTTCCATATAAGACCATACCTTCATGGTATTTTGATACCATCTGAATCCAAAACCGAGGGGTTAGTTTAACTAAATGGAGTTCTAAAAATTTTGGAAAATTATGGCCTAACACTGTATTTTTGATAAAGAAAATAACATATTTGGGCTACGAAATTTCGTTCAATAAAGTATCTCCATCTACGTTCAAAACCGAGGTAGTTGACTGATTTTCGATACCGGAAAATCAACATCAATTTGGACAGTTTTGGGTTTGGGATTTTTTCAGAACTTTATAAACGATTTTGCTCGAATTATTTGTAAAAAATCCGTATGACCATGTTCAGATTCATTGACAAAAATTGTTGAGAAATTTGTTCAAATCCTGTATTACGTATTTTCAACTTTAAATTACAAAAAATGGTTTATACAAATGCGAGCTTTCACGGCTGGCGTCAATGTTTGGTTGGTTTCCGGGTTTTACCCTTATCTTCATCGGTTATAATCTCCAAACGTTTCAACTGCAACTGCGGCAGTCATCTTCAGTGGTGTGGTCGAAGTACTCTTCTTGACGTGTCAACTGATGTAGCTGTTACTACGTCGTAGGAGATCAACATGAAAAATGAGAAGCCCTAATAATGGTTGGACTCGTGGTTCAGTAATGACCCGTTATTTCTCTATTACTCTATAATTTTCAGCTATTCATTTTAATTATATTGATTCTTTCAGAGATTTCGAGTCATTTTATATCATATTAGACAATGAAAGTCGAAACTAATGAAATGACCAGTTTATTCTATCAGTTTGAGAATGTCCTTTTAGGGCGAAACTGCAGTAATGTTAGTTACAAATAGAAGTGATGAAAACACAAAAAGTTTTTGGGAAAATATAAGTTCAACTTTCTTGGAAATGAGTTCACGAATTTCATGGATTGCAATGCTGAGACATTTTTCGCGATTGTTATCATTGAAATATGCTGTATTTTGCAAGGGGTCTATTATTCATTATTGAAGAATGGTATTAATTTTTCAGAGTCAAATTTCCGAACATGATGACGAAAATGAATGTAACTTGGCTGAGGAAGAAGCCCGTGACCCTACAATATCTCCTATCAAGGAATATATAAAGGCTACGAAAACAACATGTGGTGTGGCTACACTTATCATAATGATGGTAGTTGCTCAAGGACTTTGTGCTGGTGCTGATTATTGGGTGTCGTTCTGGTTAGTATTAAATAAATGCGTAACATTTGTGAGACATGCAGTTCGAATCAAATGCAACGTATGAATTCATTCTGTCATTTCAGTACTAACAATTCACCGACCAATTTGTTTATTCCCATTCAGTTAGTGACATATTTGTTATGAACATTTGATTACAATTTGCCGAATGTGACATTTCAAAATGAAGTGTTTCACACAAATCCGTTCAGTTTTTCAACAGTAGCACAGTTGAAATGAAAATGAAAAAGTCAACTAATAATAAGTCTGGAATATGGTGAAAACAAAAAACAAAGATTCCGAATGATGCCCGTGAAATGTTTAATATTGAATGATCTGATTCACAACACAACAAAGTTTTTGTTTCGGGGTTGAAATTAGATGATTTTAATGTATTTCATTTCGAAGGCCTTCGNTGAATAAATATTTCAATGAGCTTCAAAGATAATCCGCACAAATCAACGAGCCAACGAAAGCATTTCAGTAAATGCTTAGAATGGCAAGTTGAAAAGAATTATAATTCATTGAACCTCAGGTGGCCCACGAACGGAATATAAATGATAATTGAAGCAAATGCTGTATTGCAATAGAGATGAGGTGTATTTAAGAACTTTCATAAAAAAGAATATATTCGCTTCCCAATAATAGAGGAAAAAAACATCTGATGCCCAATAAAAATTATTATCTAGAATTCAAACTTGAGGCAAGTTCTCAAATTCATCGATGAGACCACCATTGATCCGATGTATTCATCTATCGGTTAAATCTAACCGTTAGCACGTTGGTTGAAGCAATTCATCGCATTTTTTTTGAAATCAGGATTTCGCCTTTGTCTGGAACAACTTTTTTTTCATATATGTACAAAAACAGAATGAACTTTCAATCGATTTATTTTAGAAAAATTCTCACATGAATTGAAAAAATAAGTATGTCTCTTTTTATAATACCAAACAATATGAAACTATCTCAATGGAGATCAATTCAATGAATTATTACTAAAACAAGGTACGGTTATTTATAATGGCTACTAGAAAAATATAATATACAAAATATCAGGAGAAATTTGAGAACAAATTGATTTTTTATGAAAACAGATGAATAGAGAAATGGTTCGCCAGTGAAAAAATTTATTAAATTTCTATAGAAATATTTCCTTTATAATAATTTGTATTACTTCTGTATACAGAATTTCACCTTGAAAAAATTTTATAATTCATGAAGTTACCTAACACATAAAAAAGTTTTTATTTTCCAGATACATAACATTCAATATGACACTGATTTGAAGATAATATACCATTGATGCAGCTTCGTCAAAATCCCAAAATTCTACATAGAATTTTCATTTAAAAAAACTTTATAACCACAGAACATGATATCGAAAACCAAATTAAAAAAAAAATTAAAACATAGCATACGATGACGCTGGCGTTAAAGTAGATACACTTTGAACTGAACTTCTCGAAAATTATTTCATTCCAAAAACGAAATACTTCTGGAACAAGCTCTTAAGCGATTTATATCCAATATAAATTGCTTCAGAGCAGCTTGGAGATCCGTCTACTGTCCCTTAATAACACTTCTTAAAACATATTCAGCTGAAATTGCAAGTATCAGTAACGTTTCTTCCGTTGTCAACCATTTTAATTCAGAAGAAATGCACTACTTTAGTGAAACAAATAACAATTTCAATACTCCACACATGCCATTTCATACTGAGGGTTGTCCTTTGAGAAGAGTTGAACCTGACAACAAATCAGGAATTCAGCTAAGCATCAGTGATGAGACCTATTTTGAGTAAAAACAATACCGTCTGATTTTGGATAACGTTAACTTTGTTTTCGGGATCATTGATGAGTTACTGTTGATATTATTACCATTTTCAGGACCGATCAAGAACGAATTAGGCATTCAGAATATGCTCATGTTGTCGACCCAACTACAGAGAACACAGTAGTGTACCACCTGAGAAATGAAAGTACATTTTCCTATAACTACAAATACGAAATAGTGAATAATGACACGGAATCGAGTAATCCTTTTGAATCAATGTTCGAATCTATTGAAGAAAATCACATCATTCATAAACTACTAAAAACGAATTATGCTATGTATATTTATGGTTTTTTGATCGTATTTGCTGTAATATTGACTCTTACTCGTTCCTTCACCTTCAACAAATTATGCATGTTATCCTCCACACATTTACACTCGAATATGTTCCACTCTCTCTTGAATGCTCCTATGAGGTTTTTTGATACCACTCCGTCTGGAAGAATATTGAACCGGTTTTCCAAAGACATGGGAGCCATTGATGAAACACTGCCCAGAGTTATGTTGGATGCAATCCAGGTAAGTTATTGAAATCGAGATACTATGAAATTATTTTCAATTTTTCTCCACACAAAATAGTTCCACATATTGTGATGTTAACCTCACATACACTGTAAGTTGTGTTGACTGATCTCTCTTTATGGATTTATCGTTTTGTAATTCATATTGTAATATGTCTGATGATGATAATGAAAATTATCGGAAGCTTGAAATCTATGTTATAAGAGTACACTATTTTTTGCCTGTTGCACACACAAATATTGTTTCACTCATTTCCTAACAAGACATTTCC